ATATATGCAGTGTATTATTTGTTGAAACTGTACTTTCGATTTGATTTGAAACTGTCTCATTGCTATATGTTTATCAATAAAACTTTGAAAAGAAAAGATGGCTAAAAAAACCCCTCTATGTTCTACTCTATCAAAGTAACTTTTTCAGACATATTTCTAGATTGCTTGTGGAGTGATGCTAATATAAAAATGGGTATGGAGATATGTCATATACAGAGAGTGAGGGTTAACAGTAGAAAGTTTTTTCATAAGAGATGTGTAAGTTGATCACAACGAAATCACAGGTATGAGGCTCGGATTCATAAGAATAAGATAGTTAAGGCAAGTGTTTGATCTTAAAATTTATCAAAAAGTTTTCTGGGGTTATAGCATTTGGTATAGTATTAAGAAAAATAATTGTTGTGAGGGCATTTACTATGAGAATATTTATATGTTCAGCTATAAAGAATAAGGTAAATGGACCTGCCGCATAGTCAACATTAAATCCTGGTATCAGTTCTGATTCTCCTTCAGTTAGATCAAAAGGGACTTGGTTTGTTTCTGCTAGGGTTGATACAAATCATATTATAACTAGAGGTCAGGTGGTTAAGAGTAGTCAAATTTATGGGGGGTTATTATTAGTGTTGGTAGGGTTGAATGATCCATTTAAGAGAAGAATAGTGAAGAGAATAATGGTGAGGGTAACTTCATAAGAGATGGTTTGGGCTACTGCTCATACTGCTCCAAATAGTGAATGTTTAGATTTTGATGCTCATCCATATCACAAGATAGAATATACAGCGAGGCTTGATGTGGCTAGCATGAATAAGGCTCCTAGATTTATATTGATGAGGGGGTGTGATATTAGAACAGGGATTCATATGAATAATGCAAGTGCTAAGGCTAGTGATGGGGCAATAGTAAATAGTAAGATTGATGGTGTTTAAAGGTGTAATGGGTCTTTAATAAATAATTTGAGTGCATCTGCAATTGGTTGTAAAATCCATAAGGACTTCTCTTATCCTTTAATACTGGGAGAAATTTTTGAGTAAATAGAAACTGACCTGGATTGCTCCAGTCTGAGCTCAGATCTTATAGGATTTTAATCGTTGAACAAACAAACTTTTAGTACTGGCTGCACACTGGGGAGTCCTGACCCAACACTGAGGTTGTAAACCCTATTGTTGATATGAACTCTGAAATAGGATTGCACTGTTATCACTAGGGTAACTTGATTTGTTGATCAAAGATTATCTGGGACAATATGCAATTGAAACTTTGACTTGTTGAGTCTAGGTTAAAATCAGTTGGAGGTTGAATTATTCTCCCAGGTCACCCCAACCAAAGTTATTAATTCATAACTTGTTTTTATCTCCTGTAGATTGAGGTTATGAAGAGTGAATTAATAACTTTAAGCCCAATAGAGTCTTCTCATCTTATTAATTTATCCCTGCCTCTTCACAGGAAGGTCAGAGAGGGTTTCTCACTGATATAGCTCTGGTCCAAGCTTGGAGAGCCTCAGGGTGGCGCCAGAGATTGACATGCTTATAGCTGACCTGTCAAGAGCTGACAACAGGGAAATCAGAATATCCCTGTCACCTACTAACACCCTTCAGTGGCTTCCTGGCTCCTTCAGTGCAAAGCCTACAAGACCCCACCCAAGTCTCCTCCAAACCCTTCCCCACCATGTTGCCCTCACACTCCAGTCACCTCCAATCTTCACCCCTCCTTCACTTCTTTCCACATGCAATGTACTTCTGCCCAGGCATTTGCCTTGGCTGTTGCTTTGCCTCGAAAGTTCCACCCAGAAGTATTTATGTGGCCTCCCCTGCAATTCTTCCTGGTCTTTTGTCAATGTGTTATGATTGAACATGGTCTAAATGTGTCCCCCAAGGTTTCATGTGTTGGAAAGCTGGTCCTAGTATGGTGATGTTAAGAAGTACTTAGAATTTAAGAGGTGCGGCCCAGTGAGAGGTCATTAGGTTGCTGGGGTACAGCCTTACAAGGGATTTGTGTTGTTCTTATCAGACCCCAGTCTCTTTGGCACCCAGTCTTGCAATGGTCTCACCAGCACCATGCCCCTTAGACTTTCAGCCTCTAAAACCATGGCAGGAAAGACCAAGCAGAGGGGAAATGAGTTGTGTCATGCCCAGCTCCCCACCATGAATATAATCACTGTATATTGTAAACATGTACTTAATCTTAAAAACTAAAGAGAAAAACACTTCCAAGCTAAATAAACCTCTTTTCTTTATAAATAATCCGGCCTCAGGCATTTTTTGTGGTAACAGAAAATAGACTAACACCTTACCAGCCACCTGTATCCCTGACACTTTATCCTCCTTCTTAAGCATGTATTTTGTCCCATACATTGTATATTTTATGTATTTATCATTAATTATTCATCCCTCCAGTGGACTGAAAATTCTACATGTCAGAAGATGTTTCTGTCTGTCTTGTGCTGTCCTGCATGTAGCAGCATCTGCAGTGTTGCAGGTGCTCATTAAAGATCAGTCAAGTAAGTAAATCACAGAATGAGTGCATTCCACAGGGGATGTGAACAAGGGCAAAGGCAGGAACTTCCACATGCAGTTTATTTTGCCCAGGCATTTGCCTTGGCTGTTGCTTTGAGACCAATGCAAGCCAACCTCCCTAAAGACCAATGCAAGCCAACCTCCCAACCACAGATCCAAAGTATAACTTCTATTCATTGGGTTCTCCTGCTGATATGATCAGAAAAATACTGAACAGGTGATGTGGCCTGATCCATAGCTGCTCCCTCAACCCCAAATAGTACAAACCATCTGCTACACACCAAGAATGCTGGAGGCCCCAGGGCTCAGGATGGGTAAGACTGGCCAGTTCACCACCATTATGGAGGTTATAATCTAATGAATGCAAAGTGCATGCACAGCAGGATAAGTTATAACAAGTGCTAAAACTCAGTCTAAATCACATCCTTCTGCAACTAGAAGGCAATTTTGCTTAGTGGGTAGGGGTGTGGGTTCAGAAATCACTCTGTCCAATTACTGAATTATAATCTTTATTAGATGTGTGGCCTTGGGCAAGTGACTCACTTCCTCTGAGCTTTTGATTCTTGCTGTACAGAACAGGAATCTTTTGGTTCGCTGCTGTTAGTCTCACTGTGTTGACTTTTGGTTTAGTATGTTTCCCAGGCTAGACCCAAACTTGCAATCTTCTTTCCTCAGCCACCTGAATAGGTAATAGCACAGGTGAGTACTACCAAGCCCAGTTAAGATAGAAATATCAATAGCACATGCTCAACTGTTTGTGTTAATGTGAGGATTAAGTAGATAATCCATAAATAGCCTGGCATGATAAAATCTCATTCAGTGAAGGCCTCACTTGGGAGATCTAGCACAGCCCCGAGCCATGCTGTATGAAGCCATTCCATGGCTCACAGATAGTTAAGCAGATGTTTCATAATAGGTCTGAACTGTGTGATCAATCAGGCACAGGGACAGCAAAGAGCAGCCAGAACTTTTCATGACCGAAACCTTGTTAATCAGCACAGCATACTCCTTCCTGCCAGCTTGTGGTGTGATTATTCCCTTGAGTGAAATAAGATCTGGGCTTGGTATACATTCTATAAGGAAGGCCCACCATGCAGTGTGCTCAGCAGAAGCAGGAAGGTCCCAGGGCCTCCTGTGGCTGGAGCTGCAATGAGTGCCCCCAAGCTATCATGTCCTGACTGCTCAGTGTCCTCCCTGTTCCCCCAGCTTTCACACCTGTCCACAAGCATGAAATGCTTTGGACACTGGATGACCCTGGATGAGGCCCCAGCTCTTGTCTAAACCTGTAATGAGCTGAGCTCTCATATTCTGCCAGCCAGCCAAACCAACCCAGCCAAACGAACTCCCCACAGTCTATGGCAGGGTAGGTTCCCAGGTCTCCCTGCCCCCAGGATCTCCTCAATACTTTCCACAAGTCCTGCTTTCCCTTTCCTCTTGTCTTTCCCTTCTTTTCTTTCAGAGGTCCGACCTCTGCAGCAAACTCCCAGTGGCCACATAACTTCAAGATATCCTTGCATCTCAGGAGCACTAAATGAGTAATGTTTCTCCAGTTCTTAGCAGAGTACGTCATGCTGTTGGTAATACAGTTCATCCCTGTATCCTTGGGTTCAGTGTCGGTAGATTCAACCAATCAGGAATCAAAAATATTCAATAAAAAAGTGACATTTGTACTTAACACAATTGGGCTTTTTTTCTTGTCCTCATTCCCCAAACCACATAGTGTAGCATTGTAATGTATTATATATTATAAATTTTTCCATTAATTTTTTCTGAGAGTGTGATAAGTACTCAAAACAGTAAGTACCAAACAAACGAGTACAAGACAAAATTTTGAAGTCCAAAAGCAATGAGTGCCAAATTTGATGAGTTACAAAGCAGTAGAGTATCAGGGTGTGACTAATCTACACATGATTTAAAGTGTGTGGAACAGTGTGTGCAGAGATTAAATAAAAATACATTTTTATATAAGGTACTCGAGTATCGAAGAGGAGCCTGTGTTATGGTTTGGATAAAAAATATTCCCCAGAAGACTTATACATTGAGAGGTGAGGCATCTGGGAGATAATTAGATCAAGAGGCTGGATGTGTTATTAGGAGGTAGGGCTTGATTAAAGGAAGGGGGTCCTTGGAATATGCCTTTGAGGAGTACAGCTTTTCTTGGGCTCTTTTCCTTTCCTTCTGCTTCCTGGTCTCCATGAGGTAAGCAGCTTTCAGCTACTAATTCCTGTACTATAATGCTCCTGCCTCAGAGCCAGCCAGTCATGGACTGAACCTTCATGAAACTGTGAGCTGAACTTTTCCTCCTTTGAGTTATGAATGTCAGGCACTTTGTTCCAGTAATAAAACAGTAACTAATAGAACCTAGAAGGAATTCCTTGTGGATGCAAGAGATGACTATTATTATGGTGTGCATATAGATGTCTACCCCAAGCCTCCTTTATTCACAAGTAGGGCTTTTGGGAACTAGCTGTAACTAGGCTATGTGACATGGGATTGAGGGTGTGTGGTACTAAATTAGTTCAATGGTTGGTTTAGCATGGTTCTGGTTGTAGAAAACAGAAAGGCCCACCTCGGGTGTGAGTGAAACCACCCAAAAGCCTGCTAGACTGAATGGGGTAAAAGGGATAAGAAAGCTCTGTGCTGCTCCTCCTGGGTTCCTGCCTGCTCTGCCATGGACTGCTTCTCCTCTGCCGTGCCCCTCTCCCATGCCATTGGAGTCAATCAATTATGGACTGAACTCTCTACAAATGTGAGCTCAATAAACATTTCCTCCTTTAACTTTGGGGTGTTAAGTATATCATCCCAACAATGAGAAACATAACTCTTCTGCCCTACCTAAATGGCACCTCCTTAAAGGCCAACACTGTTTCTTTTTTTGTTTGTTTGTTTGTTTGTTTGTTTTATGCCCTCCATATCTAGCACATGGGAGTGGGATAATAAATTTTGGTTATAGTGAACAATGACGAGAATCTAAGGAAGGAAAGTGAAGGGGAGGAACTAGTCGATGCCTACAAAGGACAAATTCAGGAAATGAAAGGGTCGGACACAGTGGCAGAAGGCCCGAGGCCTGGGCAAGTAGGTTGGTGAGCTTGGCCCTGGGTGAGGGTTGAACAAGAGCATAACCTGAGTGGATCCATTGTAACATAAAATCATGGAATCCAGAGTCTCCAGATCCATGGGTCACCGGCTCTAACCCAAAACAGTTCACTTACCATAGTATGATTCACCTACAAAGGACAGGAGTGGGGCTAGGTAAGCCCTTTCAGTATTAATATCACCATTTTTAATCCAATTTTTGAGTGGCAAATTTTATTAAAATAGAAAAATACACACCTTCATCTCTAGGTCTCCCAAATGCCCTTCTATGAGAACTCAGAAATGAGTTTACTGCAGTTGCTCTATGGATTTATGTAGTAGCCTTTCATACACTTGAGACAGCCAAACTGAATGTAACTGTGTCATTCAAACTGGTCAACTGTAAGGGGCCTGGGCTCCTTGGAGTCAAATCCAACAGAGTTTCATGGCATAGGAAAGAAGTTAGGAAGGAGAGAGGGATGAACAGAGGGAAGGAAAAGATGGAGGGAAAATGGGAGGACAGAAGCATAATCTATTCATCATGTTTCAGGTAATAGAAGTAAATTGAGAGGCATCAAGCTTGTGGGGGGCATGCTTAGAGAATAAGAAGAAACTGCGAGATGAAATAAATCGTCCCTTTTATGATATGAATGCCATGTTTTTGTTGTCTTGCCTGGAGCAAAAGCAATGAGACACTTTCCTGCAAATAGTATAGTGTAATAAGCAGTAAAAGTGCATACTTTAGAGAT